TTGCCAATAAAGTATCAGTAAGTTTTCGTCTTTAAAAAACAATCCTATATTTCTTCCACTTTTCCCTTAATTAACTGCATTCTGATAAACTGACTGGGGTTGTTGGAACAAAAGCTTTGCCTGCTTCCCAATGCAGCAGGTCCTAAGAGACAGATCTAGTGAATAAACACACATGCATTTATTGGTAATAAAACGCACATTCCTGTTTGAAGCAGGATCAAACAACTGAAGTGATGGTTTCTATTGAGAACCATATGGCATTTGGAGCCGTAGCTAAACTGCAGTATGCTCATATCCATGTTTCTACTGCCAGTGTACTGACTGACAAATGTATTCAAAAGGATTTGTGAAAATAAGACATCACAGTGTAGTTGTTTCCCTTACTGCACTGCATTACCTCATGTTGCTGAGGCTCTTGCCAGGACCGTACCCCACTGTATGCTGCATACTTACTGTATGCTGAATGGGAAATACGAAAACCTGATTTTTTCTGTCATGTCACAGGATCTTGCATTCACATCTGCAAAAGATGAGTTCAAATTGCACGTTACACCAGTTTTTTATTGCATTTTCAGTACACTCCCAACATCTTTACACAGACCCGTGAGTCTTCATGTGCGTGCACAGCCATACATACTCACAGACTATTTGTAAAAGCTTAGAAGCCTCAACAGACCTTTTTTTTCCCATTCTGCATTGTCAACTGAAATTATGCAGGTGCTTTGCTCTTTTGTAGTTGTGCAGTAGTAAATAATAAACCTTGGCTTCTGCTCTTTAAGAGTTACACACTGATTTTAACACTCAGCACAGTCTTTTTTTTTGTTTCTATCAAACACCAAGCCATTTTAAAAAACAATACCAGGAATCTAATTGGAGTAGAGTATTGGGTTTATGGATATAACGAGGCAATTTCTAAACAATAAGTAACTGAAGTGCATAAGTAGAGCTTAGTTTTGACTAGCGTGGAAAGGGTTAAACTTACAGTAGAATATGTGGCATTCATTTGTGTAGTTTGCTTTGAGAATTAAAGAACTAATGCTCACTTAGATGCAGATAGTTTAATGCTAACGTAAAAACTGAGTACCTGCAGAGGATGTTGCTAGAATTTGCATTCCTGTCATTCTTTGTTCACGTTCAAAATTATTAATCATGATCACATACTTTACTTTTCTGCAGGAGATGTGCTTCATTCCATGCGTGAGTGGGCAGTAGTGACTCCTAATTTCTTTCAAGCTGTGTTTCTGGATATTTGTATTCCTTCTGTAACGACATGGCCAGAAAAATACATGAAAATCAAACATAATAATTGCAAATGGAATAAACCAGTAATATCTCATGTTATAATTACTCAAAACCAGGATGCTTTATATTAAAGCAATTAATTGTCAGTGGGATGTAGATTTTTTGACAAAGTTTGGCATTTCTGGTGGAGACACGAGATACAGACATTATTGATGACTCTCCAAGGTATTAATCTAGTGGACACTTAGCCCTGCCCAGCTGCATGGATTTTGGTGCTGCTCATATTTGGAGTTAAAGCATATCAGTCCTTTGTGTGGCTGCACATTTACACTTAACTCCAGTGTATTGCTGCTAAGTTGACTACCGTGTCCAAATAAATACTAAAAATAAAATACATACCAAATAAATACTAATAATACTGAATTTTAAGGTGTTGGCCATAAGCAGATGACTCTTAGAAAGGCTTCTGGCCTTCATCACTACATCTTGCATTCTCATTAAAGCATGTTTGCTTTCTTGGATGGGGCCTATTTTCACCGTAGGTGAATTTGCTTGGCGCAAAGAAAAGAAAGTCCTAACTGTCATACATGAGTTTTGTTTATTTGTTTTAAACTTAAAGCTTCATCTTTTCTGCTGTACTTTATTTTATCCACTGACTTTTTAAAAGTTGAATTTAAACATTAGAATGAAATAGTCTTTGGTAACAGGCTGTTTACAAATGGTCTTTTTGTAGAAGGACGTACTACAGCATTATATACCTCAAATTGATGCATCTGTTTATCCATATAACAACAGATGTCAGTAAAGCACAGTTAGGATAAGAAGTGTTGCCTCTACAAACATCCTTTCAGCTTCAGGTTATTTATTCTGTGCTGCAAAATTGACAAAATCAAGTGGGAGGATAAAGCATTCATCTTTTAGGGTCACACTGAAATGAAATGGAACTTTCATTATAATAAGTCATATTTTATCCCTTCCACGCTGTAAGGGATACAAACTATAACTATAGCTTGAGCTGTTTTTCCTTCTGTTCCACAGGTTACAGACTGATTAAGAATGCTGCTGTTGTACTGTGCGTTACTGAGAACATGTAAATTCCAGTGGCTTTTTTTCTTATACAGCTTATAACTGTTCCAGAGGTTTCAAATATATACAGGTAGTTCAGGAAATTCAAGTGAAGCATTCTTCAGAAAGCTAGTGCCTCTTTAGATTCTACTTTGTCACTTCTCTAGGATGCTAAGTAGGAGTAAGGCTCCATCAAGACAAGCACAGTGTTAAGAAAAAATCCAAAACTGAATAGAGATGGGTTTTTAACTCACACTCAAGATAGCTTTTGTTTCAGTAATTATGTGATCTTAGGCTCTTTTGGAAGGAGCCATGAGATGTGGATGTAGTGTGTGACAGCAGTAAAGGGCAGCTGAGGGGAAGCAATGTGGAGGATAATTAAGTTTGCCCTAATCACACTATTGTGCCTCCAATCCCCAACACCCCCCCAAGTCCAAAGAAAAGCAGGTTTGCAAGTCTGCACATACTCACTGCAGAAGCTCGATGTGTGGGGTCTTCACGTGCGGCTGGAGAAGGTGGCAGGAATTCCCTCACCAAAAGTGTCAGTGGGAGTCAAAGTACAGCTCCAGTGCAGGTGATGCTACTGCATTTACAGGGCAAAAGCACCAGACGTTGGCGTTAGTGCTTGTAATGCGAATGCTAGAGCTTTACCACACGGTTAAAGCTGTGCACTGTGCACAGGCTGGGCCCTCAGCCCTGGGCTGCAGATCATTGGAGGAAATTTTGGTAGTGAACTTGGTCAGCTTCATTTGATGTTCCATAATTGCTGCACAATTACAATGCCGTTTTCTTCACTTTTACTGCTTTGCATATTTTTAAATACAAACACGTGGTGACTGGAAAAACACTACTTTGAACACAGCAGTTGGTAAAGTTAACAAACATGTATTTCTTAAAATACAAAAATCATGAATGTTTACTGCTAAAGTAGTGAACGTGCTGGTGGCAGCACAGGTTTGCTGTACTCAGGTATGATATCATCAGCATGGTGACTTCAGTGCAAGGATGTATCCATAGCAGATTCACACAAAGCTGAGAAGATACCAAATCAGTAGAGGCTGTGCCAGGAGTATAATTTATCAGGCATGCAGTACGTCAAGCTTCTCTGCCCACCTGTGCCAGGAATATGTAATGTGTAGCATCAGGGCAGCCTGGCAGATCTCACTCCTTGAAAAGACAATGCAACTTAGGTGAGACGGGTTTTAGAAGCTGACAGAAATAACCATTAACTGTAGAAGTGGTGTGAAGCACAACACTGCTGGGTTAGACTGCATGAATGTCACACAACGCCTTCAAGAGACAGTTTGGACTGAAATTTTTGATTCTTTTAATTCTGTACCTTTCTATTATTAAACAGAATAGTAAAAAAGACAGTAAGTACCTACCAGAGTAACGTACCATCAATAAAACTGCTTTTCTCCTGTAGCTAAAAGGCAGGATACATGACGATCTTTCATAAGGTGTATTTGTTGCAGAATGAGGTTTTCCTAGTGCCCTGTGTGCACTTCACCATCGATCTCAAGCCAGACTGTTGCATATAACCACAAGATAACAATTGGATGTCATTCAAAATATTTTTTCAAGGACATTTTTGACCTTAAGTAATAGATAGCCTTTCCAGACCCGTAATGATGAAAGGATCTTGTTTCTGGAAGCTCAAAGCAGACAAATGCTTCAGGAGCTGCACATACCTAACAGGAAAGTCTCACAGCAGCATTAGAAAATAGTTCAGAATTTCTTATAGCAGAACTTAATTGAGAAGTCCTACTGTCAATAGCAATAATAATAATAAAAGCTGTTTACGCTTTAACTCCATCTATAGGTGGTGAAATGCTACAATCTGTACAGTAATTTTAGTATCCTGGGTTCATTTTAAAAAAGGAAACTGACAAGTATCCTACAAATTTTATATGCTTTATATTCTTTAAATACCTTTTTTTGTACAGTAACATCTGTCTAGTTTCTCCGAAGCGCTTGAAACATTTTCAGCACTGAGAGAAGCAGCAGCTTCATCTTAAAGATCCACCTGAATTGAAATGTCTTGGACATCATGGATTCACTAAATGACAGATTGAAAACAGCAAACCGGCACCCTCTGTCGCAAGGCTGACTGGACAGAGGTCTCAGCAGCACCTCTTCTATGTAGGAACAGGCTCCTTGCATGAATTCTGCTCAGCTGGGGAAGGTTTGCATGTAGGAATAAGAAACTGTGAAAGAACTGTCAGCATCCTTTCCAAATATTTGCTCAACAGGAGGATGTCTAACCGAGCTCATTCAAAGGATGCAATATGTGCCTGGGCTCCACTGTCATTTGCCTTTGTCACAGTGCTACTGTTGTAATTTATTGCTGTTTTGGACATTAGGACCAACTGCTTGTGTCCATCTGCACATGCTAAAGCATGCGTTCCGATTTGTAAGTGGTTACAAGCAAGACTTTAAGTGTGATTCACCAAAATTTGTCATCAATATTTGTACAAAGGATTCTGGAGTAAAGCTCTGAGGGGGCTGGAAAGTACTTTTTTTTTTTTTTCTCTGCTTAAGGAATAACGTCATCCCTTTGTATATTAATGCACTGGATCACGCGTTGTGTTTTTTGGCAAGGACATTAACATGCATTAGGAGCTCTAGTTCTATCAAGGCTTTGTTTGAAGACTGGTCTGAAAACCTCAGCTCAGAATTGGGATGAAGTACGAGTCGACATGTATTTAATGTTTGAAAATCTGTGCATTTCAGTAAGCACTTTCAGCTATCTTAGAAATTACATTGATCAAATGATCAGTTTTCCTCTTCAGCTCTGTTCTCAAGATGTCCTTGCTAAGAAGGGGACTGTAAGTCACATCAGTCTGGCAAGTATTTTGATTTCAATATTGTAAGACTTTTTAGCTTGAGGTCATGTTGAGCTCTGGTAATGTAGAAATTGGCTTTAAAGCTCTATCAGGAGCAGTCAGAGGAGCCCAATTGTTTCTGATCTAAAGGCAGTGTATATTTTAAGTGGCCTTCTGGTAAGGCAGTTCAACAATTAATGTCATGTTATAAGACCTTAATAAGTTTATTAAAAATAATATTTTTAAAATTGTGAATAAGTAGAATAAAAATAGTGATTTCTTAAGAATTATAAATATTAGAGTCTTAGACTGATCCATGGACATCACCTGCATGGCTATGGTCCTAGGTTTTGTTACTTTAACTTCTGAAGGAATGGAGATCTGCATATGATGTTTCTCAGACATTTTCTTATATTTCAGATGAGAGATTACATCTGTGGAATACTAATAGTATTTTTCCTGTAACAGACAACTGTAATGACTACAGTTTCTATGACTGCTGCAGCTTGCTAGCTGTCTAAAGATTAAGTACATTAAGACCCAAACAGTTGGTAAACTTTTGAAATGAAGCAGTCTTACCTTTACAGCAACATTATTGCACAACTGAAGAGAGAGAAGAATTCCCTCCCCCCCGGTGACCAGTATTGTACACTGTAAATGTCTGCAGTTCACTTAAGTTGTCTTTATTAAAGCACCATTCTTTGGACATCACCTCTGAAGATGCCTGCGCTGTGGGATGAGGTAGTAGGTTGTATAGTTTTAGGGTCATACCCACAACTGGGAGATAACTATACAATCTACTGTCTTTCCTAAAGCAGCAGAAAATCAACAATGGAGACTGTTCAATTTCTTCTGCACTTGGAGTGTTTATTGTAGGAGACAAATATTTCTGCAACATCTACAGGTAATTATTTCTAGATTTTTCTCATTCTCTACATTAATTTACCTTCTCTAAGGATAAAATGTAAGAACAGATTGATTCCTTTAAGGTGGGGTAATCAAATACAAATGGTTGATGTTCTAATAAGTTGTGTTAACATTGCTAACTGAAGCATCAAATATTAATACTCTGGAATGAGACTGTGGTTAGCTACTTCAGCAAAGAGCTTAAGTACATGCTTCTCTATCAGAGTGAGGTAGTAGATTGTATAGTTGTAGGGTAGTTATTTTACCCTGTTCAGGAGATAACTATACAATCTATTGCCTTCCCTGAGGAGTAAAACAAACTGCGGTCCTTTGCTGTCATGCATTTCCACATTGACTAAAAGCAGATTTGTCAAAGTTTAGGGTTGTAAAGAATCAAATGAATCCTGTAAATTCTGTCACTAATTAACAGTCAGTTTGAGTGGTGCAAACCCCAAGTGGTATTTGACTAATATGACTTTTCTTCCAAGGTGAGTGGCGCAGCACTGTCTGGACATCAACAATGCATCTCTTAGTAGATACAGAACTGAATACACCATAGACTGGAAATCATTCTAAAACAATTTGGTTTTGAATCTAAAAGAAGTCTTGGCTCAAGCTCATACATTGGGACATAAACTGTTTTAATTTCTGTAATACATTAACATTGTGGCTGTTCAGTAGAAGCTGGAAAATTTACAGTTATACTTCATTAATATATCTGCTTATTTTTCTCTAGCAAGTGAGATTTAAACAATGTAATACAAAGATTAAAGTGTTGAATGGCCAAAATTCACAGAATAGCCAGGGTTGGAAGGAACCTCAAGGATTATGAATCTCCAACCCCCCTGCATCCACAGCCTTTCTGGGCAGCCTGGATTCATCCCTTCAACTGGTTAGGAGAATGTAAAGCTATGAAGTTTGAGTGCCCAAGATCCAAAATTGTAAGTTCTGTCTGAAGAGGTTACTGTTTTTATTAAGGCATTTAGAGATTGTGTTCTTTCCCCCATAAGCCTTAGGTGTACCCCATCTAGCTGCTTCTGCCTTAGAGTGACCAGCTGACATCTTCCTATAACAAGGAAGAAAAAAGAAAAAAAACATCCAAACATGAAAACACTTTTTGGGACTGAAAGTTCAGCATAGTAAGTGTGAAAATGGAGCCATTAATGAGTATTTAAGCCAGGAGTGTTACTAGTTAACCGCTTGTTAAACAGTGCTAACTGTGAACTTGTAGTACATGCCCTGGCCTAAAAATGCAGAAGACCAAAAGCAGCTGGTAAGCTAAGCTGATTTCACAGAGCAGCTGCTAAGCAAGAACTGCAAAAAGGAAGCATTGGGCTCCTGGGAAGAGGTAGTAGGTTGCATAGTTCTAGGGCAGGGATTTTGCTCACAAGGAGGTAACTGTACAACCTGCTGCCTTTCTTAGGGCTTTATTATAACACCATTTTGGCTCCATCTCTGCAGCTTTGGTATGTGAAGAGAAATGAAGCTGTTTCTAAGCACATTGAGGTTTAATGAAACTGGTGTCTCAGCCAATCTGTGCAGACTTGAGCATAGTACTATTAACTGGAATTCAGTATTGTGAAATGCTGCATTTCAAGGCACACGTGTCATTTTGTTGACATCAGTGTTGTGATAACTTACAAAGAAAATACTGAAAACAAATTCCAAGACTAAGATCAAATTCCCTACAATTAGGATGGAGGTGTTGCATACTTCTGAACATTCAGTTAAGTACTAATGCTATGTACTTGCAAACAGGCAGCTATAACACACCTTCCTTTGGCTTTGTGGAGTTTCCAAGGATCAACTTACGACTCACCTGAACGCTGGTAGGCTCCTGCAAGCAGGATAGGCTCTCCCAATAAATCATGCTGTGTCATGGAATACTTGCAGTCCTACAGGAATGTCTTCAAAGTGAATGACTGCATATCTGCTATGGAGTTGTATGTTGAGAAGTAGATGGTAACTTTTTCATGTCATGACAGTGCAGTACCACCATTGTTCTGGAGGACTTCATCCAGATGTGCTCTGCTGTGGGCTACAGAAACCCTTAACTGCTGATCATCCTGTAAGATTAATGGCTTATGCTTACAGTAGCCAGTTTTTAAAGTTATGGCAAGACAGAATCCTAGATATTATAAACATATTGAGTATGCTAATGGAAATTGTCTATTCTTCAAAGCGTACACACTTGATTTACTCAATAAAGGAACTTTATGGAACTCTTACGGTGAATTGACTTTACTTTCTACACAACAAGGAAGTGAATTTGACAGAAAAACACCGCTCATACTATTGAAGTAAAAAAGTATTAAAAAAGGTTTTAACAGGAATTAGCGTTAAGTAAAAAAATTCCAGTGTAAATTGTGATTTTTGATATGAGACTTCACTGACAAGGAGATGAATTTACAACATTACTGTTGAATGTGTAGGAATTCTGCTTACTTCAGAGCTGTTATCTGAGCATAAGTTTTAAGTGTTGCTCATGAATGTAAACTTTTGAGAAGGTGAGCTCTTCTCTTGACTACACCTTAATTTTTGCATAGTTGGTAAGGCATCAACAGGTACTATTCAGGGAAAAAAGACACCCTGAAGTTTCATTTTTTGCAGTTTAAAATGCCTTAAAAGCTTCAGCATACTGAACACTAATCTGTGTATAATGTGCATGCTTATGAAAGACTTAATAATCAAATCAGTGCTAGCAACTACAACGCTCCACGCTATGTTATTAAAGGCTGCATTAGGGAAGAACTATAACTAGATGGAAAACAGCAGCTGCATAGCCTGTTAATGTTCAGTTTGATGCAATATGCAAGTTTTAGGCTTGATATGCAGATACCTGTCCTGCTAATACAACACTTCATATTACTACTGTCAGTGCTGCTGGCTCTCTTTTAACTTCAGAAGACAAAAAGTACACGTAGCTTTTAATTTATTAGTTTGACTGAGGTTGTATACATCTCAACATTGAAAAAAAGGCACTGATCAGAGAATGTTAAAAACAGAACCCCTCTTTGTGGACTCCCAAGTGCCATTTAGGTAAAAGTACCTGAACTTTGGGATTATCTCTATATACTTTCAATGTATTGTAAGCAGACGGCGGAGAGAGATACTGCCATGTCATATATGGTCTTCTTATATAAAAACATAAGCAGCCTTAAGCAGTTTATGCTCAGTTGATTATTTTTAAATAGTTAATGAGTTCTTCATCTAAGAATACTAACCTCAGCCCCTCATCTTTCCAGTAGTGACCGTCTCACCCATGGCAGGTGCAAGCATTTCCTTCCTTGTAACTGGAAGCAGCTTGATAAAGTGACAGGGCTCAAACTAGTAAAGAATTGTACTGTGGTTCAGCTCTCGTGTAACAATAAGATTATTTTTTACTATGATGACCTGCAGGTTCCACTCTATCAGTGGTACCTGCTTAACAAAATACATGATTTGTTTGCCTTTTTCCACTTGTATATCCAGTGAGGGGTCCAAGGATGAGGTGGTAGTGCAGAAAGAATCCTTCCACTCAAGAAACAGTAGCTAAAGAATGCATAGCAAACAGTGCAGAAAAGTTTGCAGTAACAGTAGAGACATGTTTACCACCCATACTGAAGTAGTTTTGTCACGGTGGTCTTGGAAGCATTCCAATAGAGCTCTGAAAATAGAATACAGCTTCTATGCTGATCCACAACCCAGGAGAATTATTTGTGTTCCCTGCATTTCCATGCAGGAAGGTGTGCTCAAACATCTTCCTGGTAGAATGAAACCTAACACCTGCTGAGATTTTTCTATACCAGAAAACATTACCAGCAAACACTCATTTCCAAGGAGACTTTGAGCACTCAGTGCCATGTTCACAACCTATGAACTTAATGCATTAAGAATTACCTTTGCTACGCTGCCTTACAGATCTAGGATTGTGGCAGGCACTGTGTTATGATAGTGTTGCCACAAGAATTACTGTGAGATTTCTGCATAGCTTTGAGCTAACAAAGTTCCTAAGGAGCATATTCTACCACACATTAGTCTTACCATAGCTTAAAAGGTGTTCTCTGCTAGAGTTTGTCTGGTTGGCAAAAGTTTGCATTCTTAACCATTAGTTTTCCTTTGTGCTTCTTTGTCCTTCCGGAGGGAACAAATGCAAGGAAAAACCTCTTGCTGTTAAACATATACAGAGAGATGTTGCAACATGCACTTAGCACTTCCATATTATTTATATTTAGATTCCTGGACTGCTTGATCCAGTACAGTGGTCACTTGCAACGCCACACCATCCTTACACCAAAATAGCCCTTGCTGACTTTGGGCAAGCAGCAGACCTGGCTCAGTAACAGGTACACATAGGGAGTTCATCATCTCTTGAATTTACAAGCAGTCTGCGTAAATATCTGATATATGTAAGGGGGGGGGGGGGAAGGAATGCCTGAAATGCACTGATTGAAAAAGACAAGCATGTCATGTTCAACTGAATATCAGTGGGTTCAGCTGGAACTCCCAAACCATGTCTCAGCTCCAGAAGCATCAGAGCCAGGTGTGGCTTTCAGACCTCTGGTAAGGTTTAAGGGCTCTAGCAGATGACACAGCTGGATTCAGCCAACAACAACAACAACAACAACAACAACAAAAAAGAAAAAAAAAAAAAAAGAAAAAAGCAGATTACATCTAACGAGCTGTTGGGTATTTTATGAAATCATTCTGTGAAGACAAGTTGTGACAGGAACTACTGGAAACATCAGATGGCAATGCATGTTTCGTTGCAATACAAGAAATAAGATTTGTCTTATTGCACGTACAATGTTACTGGAATTTTGTTTTTGACTATTAAACCCACGACAGCAAAGAGTTTGTAAAAAACCCTCTGTAAAAAAAAAAGTTAAAAACTTTGTGCAAAAAAGCTTTGTAAAAAAAAAAAAAAAAAAAGATTGCTGAAATACAAAGTTGTGGCAAGTCATAGTGCTTCTAAGGACTGCATTTTGGGAAACTGAAATGGTCCTATCTGATATAGGAGAACTTAACTGAAAAAAAAATATATATACATTATTATTACATATATATAATTATATTATTACATTATTATATATATTATATAATATACATAATAATATAAATATATAATCAATATACATAATTATATATATATATAAAGATTCAATGTCAGAAGTAGTATACATACATATACATATTTGCCATACACACACACACTATTTCTGGCATTCTTACTTCATAAACTGAAGTAAGTGACTATTTAAACCATAAAACCAGACAGAGCAAAAGAAAAGGATCAAGATTGCAATTCCAAATCCCAGTTCTACCAAGGGAGTTCACGTTGCCTTACGCTTAACACTGTAACACAACTGAAAGCACAGTAATGGCACCATAGCAGCAAAGTCCTAAGCTGCAGTAACTGAGGATATACCCAAACGTGGCACCTTAAGACACAGAAACAAAGGAAAGAATCTGCTTACCCACAGAAGACCTGAGGTAGACAGCAAGATACCCTTACTTCCACTGCCAACCCTTAAATGAGGTCTGGGACGGGTGGAGCCCTTCCTGTCACTCAGGTGCACTGCATTGCACTGCATTGCATTGCATTGCATACACCTGAGCTTCCCTGGGTTGGCCCTACCTTCCCACCGGGTGCTTAATCAGGCTGTGACAGCATTTCTGCAACGCTTACCTTTTTGCATTGCCTTAAGAACTTGTTACTCCCTTTGGAGATATATCTGTCATCAGTAGTTGCACTGATCCCAGCATCCTGAAATGCTGCCACATATGAAGCCTGATGCACAACTGGAACCTTCTGTGGCTCCTCCTGCAGAGCTGCCTAAAATGAAGAAGGGCGAGTGCAGAGAAGAGGAGGGATGAAGAAGAGAGAGACATAGTATAAAGTTCCCAACAAAAAGAAGTTTGTGCAATGTCAAATAGTACTTTTTTTCGACTGACTTCTCATATAAGCTATGATCAATGCTGTTAAGACCTGGTCCGTAAAACTAAAGTGCATCTTACACTAAAATAAGTACAAAGACTTTCCCTGATACTTTTTTTTTTTTTTTTTTTTTTTTAATTAAGAAGGATGTGAAGCTGTTTTTAGGGGTTGATGTAATGCCATCCTGATTATTACTTCATCAGCTGGCATATGCTGCCTAAATTGCTGTATAATTTATGCAGCAGTGAAACAGGTGATGCATAGCTGCTGAAACCAGTGCACGGAAAGATAGCACAGGACAGTTTTTCCTCAGTTCTTCATGTTTTGAACAAATGCACTATCCCTCCATTTTCCATAGCTGAGTCAATCAGAATATTTCTGCTGTTCATACCTTCTCCACTTCAGCACTTACAGTGCAGTAACACTGGAGATGCCGTTCTGATACGACAGTTCTGCACCAATTGATGTGTTCTACTGTTGGCGCTTTTTATAAGTGAAATAGGAAGATCAAATTTTATCAGCGCATTGGGAAAACAAAACAAAATGCTAAGGTAATTAAAACAGTGGGAGCACTAGACATGAGAATAAGTAATGAATAAATAAATACAGCGTGAAATAACTAGAGTAGGTGAGTATCTGAAGAGTGCAAAAGCAAGGAACACGTTAACAGCATAGTAAGGATGCCATTAAAAAAGTTTCATCTAAACTCTGGCTACAGAAGTTTCAGCACTGAAGTGCAAAAAGCTCTGTGCTTTGCATGAATGAACTGCCAGCAAAAAGCTTTGGAAAGCTGTCCTTTGGCAGGAGCAGACATTTGATTCCTGATTCAGCTCAAGTCCATGGAGATCCCTCCCTTATTCTGTGTGCAGGATTTCACATTGAGCATGAGTACATTTGTACAAGTTATTGAAATACAGTACACAACTAACTAATTATTGTGCAAATCAGCATGAATAATGATGAAGTAAGAGATGATTAATAAGCATTAGCACATTTTTTTTAACGTTACTCACAGCTAGGAAAAGCTTGTTGTTTACTGAGTGAGTAGTCAAATGTGGGAAACGTGGAGAGCTTCTGTTCTGCATTGTAACTCCTGCTGGACTTCTGTCCCCACCAGATTACCGTGACTCAGCGCACTAGGTTGTGTTTCAGAAATCCTAAAACACAGCCAAGAAGTTCCTTGCAAAGATTACCTTGTTAAAGTGAAAATATCCGTTGTATCGCCTGCCCTTCAGGTCTCAGGCACTGACTGCAGGTTGTTGTATTGCAAGTCAGGGCAACACAGGAGTTTTCCAGTCTACTCTT